CCCCCCCCCCCCAAACATTACTACAATATACTGTATTTTTTATTTTGAACTTTTATAATATGACTTCAATTTGCGAAAGTCATTAGCAATATACCAAAGCACGGCGATGTTTTAATTACTATAACTGTAAATTAATTCATGTTATATGTTTTATAGAAGCCTTTCGTTTAAAACAGAATTATTGGTGGTAGGTAATACTAAACAATCATTGCTCATAATTATTGATGTAGCTGATAAAGCTGTTCTCGTTTTTCATTTGCTACCCTGTCATAAGCTCCTTAGAAACTGAGATGAATAACAGACTTTTTCATTCTGGAATGCTAATTGTTCCTCCCCTCCCCCATCATCTGTCCAGACAGGCCAAACAAATCACAAAGGGGGCGATTTGGGTTTATTTAACCATCTAGAGAATATTAACCAGCGTTTAATTTCATTTCTCTCAACAGTTTAGTGCTCACACAAAGTGACATATAACAAACGGCCCCACACAATGTATGTCAGCTGGCCACTTCCGCTCAGTGAAAGAAACGTCTGAAGTGTGTACTTGTGTCTGGGGGAAGGTGTGCGGTAGGAAGGCGGGGTGTGATATTTTCTGGATTCAGTGTTTGACTTTACAAAAAAATCCGAGGGAAAAATAAGTCTTATGTACATTGCTCGCTCTCCCTGTAAAGGACACTGTGTTTACGGCTCGGTTGAGCAGCCTGGGGTCTGCACAGCAGCGAGAGCCAGTTTCTGATCCCTTTATCGCAGCTGCATTGGCCTGCGTATCCCAAAGGCGCTAGCTAGAGACTCCGAGGAAGGCGCTGCTCAGTGGGGAGTAAGGGACCATAACTACCGCGGACACGGGTCCCTCATTTCCCAGCAGATTTTCAACTGCCCCGAGAAAGGCCGCGTCCTACAGTCCCGGCTCGAGCAAAGCCTCCCTTTGCAAAAAGCCCCACTGGGGATTTGGTCCGAGTTACGGTCCTCCCCGGCCCTTGCACACGCGGGGCCTGATCATTAGCGCCCAAAGATGAAATCTTTAACCTGTAGCTCATTTACAAGAGAGTTTATTAGTCTACTTACGGAGGCGAATTGTTTTACAGCTCGTTTCGCAGCCGCGTTCCCTGCCAATTAACCCCAGTGTTTAAAGGGGTTGGCGTGGGTGCAAAAGACGCGGGCGAGGCTGGAAGTGCAGAGAGCTCTGCGCTCGGCGTTGAATCCCTGAAGGCAGGTGGACTCTGGGCAGGGTTTGAGGACCATCCGGCTTGGTCAGTGCTGCGTTTTCTGAAACAAATACCCGCCGGGGATCTCTCCCCTCCCAGGACAACGAAAACAATTTCCCATGCAATTAGTAACGGGCTGGGAGAGGGACCTTCTAGCAGATGTCCTCAGCGTTATGTAACTAATTATATCCGCCTGCTGTCCAATGGACTCCAGGCTGATGCATCCTGCCAGGGGGTTAATCGCGCCGGCCCACCTAAGGCAACTCATTCTATCCATCAGGTCCCGGCGCGCTGCGGCTGCTTGGTTGGGGTTGAGAGCGGCGCCGGGGCTGCTGCAGGCAGCGCGCTGAAGGAGGTGAAATCAAACCAGTCTGAAAGCGGGGCCCGCGTTTTAAAGCTGTTGGGACAAGAGCGGCGCGCTAAGCGCCCGGCAATCGAGCGGACAATGTGTGTGGCAGAGAGGAAACCAAGCCCCAGTAATGGTCTGGGCGTCTCGGTGTTATGGCTAGTGCTCTGCGTGCCAATGTTTCTGCTGCAGGCAGCGCGCTGAAGGAGGTGAAATCAAACCAGTCTGAAAGCGGGGCCCGCGTTTTAAAGCTGTTGGGACAAGAGCGGCGCGCTAAGCGCCCGGCAATCGAGCGGACAATGTGTGTGGCAGAGAGGAAACCAAGCCCCAGTAATGGTCTGGGCGTCTCGGTGTTATGGCTAGTGCTCTGCGTGCCAATGTTTAGACTCCCCGTGCCTCCTGGGAGGGGCGGGAGGACGGCTTCAAAATCGCACCTGCCAGTGTGTGACTCGTCTATTCTTCCCGCGTGTTTGAAATAGGTTCCTTTGTTGTGGTGTCCGTAGTGTTCAATTTATGGGGATACATCGGCCGGACTCCTAAGAAACTTCTACATCTCCCCCGCCTGCCAGGGAGGTGCGCGGGAATTGGGGCTCTCCTATTTTCCACACGTCCCATGCTTCAGGCTTTCTCACTCTGAAGTGGGAGAGTGAAGATAACGCTAGGGACCAGTTAGTGTTTTAGCCAAAGCTATTCTTGGTCCTAAACCTTCTCAGTGAGGTGCCCGACCAGCCGTGTGTAGGCTGGATCCCCTCCCCCATTCGGCCTCGGTCTGGTCTCTACACTTTGTCCGATAGCGCCCTAAATTAGGAAAATAGCTTTTAAGCAGCACTTGCCTCCCAAGCTAACCGGCCTCACCCCGCCCCCCACCCGGAAAGAAAGAAAACAAAGTCACAGAGCGTACCAAGCACAGATCTTGCTTTGTGTGTAATCAGCTGCCTGGCACTATTTCCCCAAGATCTAAGCAGCCGTGAGTTACAGCTCTGCGTCTTCGCCTCCCTGCTCGGCCGGACTCAGCCTAGCGCAACACCGCCTCCCAGCAGCCCCGCTTCAGACTCCGGGTCTTGATTGTTTACGCTTTAAAACAATGCGGATTCATACGCGTAATCTCGGTGCCAATCGCTCTGCCTAGCACCTTGGGCACAGGTTACAACCGGAAACACCGTTCGCACAGGCGGCCTGGAGCGGGTATGTATAGTGCGGCGGGCGGCTATTTCTAAACAGTCCCTGCCTTCCAGGGCAGACAGCCACCCTTCCAACTACAGTCCCGGTTCACTCACATCCTCTGGCACCCTTGAAGCATCAGCTAAGACATGTGCCTCCCCCCATGCATAGCCCCGGCCTGCTGCGAAGCAGCAGGTGCCCCCGAAGCCGCCGAGGGATTTACCTTCTGGGAAGACAGCGCGCATTTTCAGGTAGCTGGTGGTGAGGCGGATGATGGAGGCCTTGTCCAGCTGGGAGGTGATGGCTGAAGGCAAAGGCAGCAACTTGGCCAGTTCATAGAACTCTCCATTTTCTTTTTCCCTTCTAGTCTTCGCAGCATTCTTGGACTTTTCCTTCATGGTGGCGGTTGCAAGGCAAGGGGGACGATGACACTGGCATATTAGACCCGATCCTTCCGGATTGCTGCGACCATGGACTTTGACTTGATCGTTAATACTATGCGCCTTTCAGACCCGGAACGCCCCTCCGCACAGAAATTGGGCGAGGAGGGCGCAGGACCTCGGTGCCACAAGCCGCCGCGGGTCTGAAGAACGCAGTTCCGGACTGACTCGGCAGTGCAAATATTGGGAAGCAGAGGCCACAAAAGATCTACGCGAACCAGGACCGCGGTTACTGCTGGAAATGGTTGGCCTGGTTCACAGAGAGCATATCCCCTTTTTTTCTTTGTTTAGCGAGCGATTCCCTCCATGCAACTCTTCCCCCTCCGAAAATCAAAGCCTTCGAGTGCTAGGCAGAATGCAATTATTAAAAAAAAAAGTTTTGTCTTCTAATGAACTCGTGGTCCCAGAGCCTAAGGTGCAGAGGAAAGCGGGCAAGACAGGCCCGCCATAAAATGAAAGTCACAGCCGGCGAGGAGGGAGCTAGCGGTGGGATAGGCTCTAAAACTCCAGGCTTGCTTTTCCTTTATACATTTCCCTCTCAATCAGATCGGGGAGAGCGACCGCTTGTCTTGCAACTAGTGCTGGAGAAATATGCGGTCACCGCACACGTGTGTGTCAGACTGTGTGTATTTTAGACCACTCGTGCAGCACTTGCCTGAAATTCTGCCTAGCCCTAACCCCGTTCACCTTTCATCAGAGATTTGGGGAAGAGTGTCTGCAGCAGCCAGCTGATTCCGCTGCTCCAGCCCGCGCTCTAACTCCGGTTCTCCCGAAAAGTTAAATTCAAGGATCCATTTTCCTTCGGGCCAACGCCACTTCGGTGCTGTCACTCTCCGGACAAGTCCAAGTGCTGGCCAAGGCAATTCGGCAAGAAAGGCTTGATAATATATAGAGAGATTTTATTTGACACGTATTCGAAAAAACAAACAAACCCCAAACTGGTGCGAAGCGAGAGAGCTATTGACACGCGACTCACTAGAGAGGACTCTACCTTACAGGAGCAATAAAGGGTTTTGCTATTTCACCTTCCAATAGCTGACAGCAGCATTCTCCGAGCTCACAACCCAGCAGCGCTCACACACAAATTCCTGCCTCTCCCAAATCCTAACTTCAGCGCTCCCACGCACGGAAACACTAATCTCCGCTGCTTCCTCCGCCTTTTCAGGAACAGCCAGACGCGCTGGGGTGGGACCTTCGGCTAGTTCTTTAGCCAAGGCTGGAGAAAGCGAGCAGCGCCTCGAGTGGGGAGGGGATAAATGTGCCCCGTGACTTGTCCGCCCGAGCAGCGCCTTCGGAAGGACCCAAACACAGAGGCGCAAAGAAAGGACGGCAATTAGCACTTGCAGTGGAAAGGGGGGGGGGGGGGGGGAGGCGGCTCAGCGTCCGGATCCCACTCACTCAGCATATTTTACACACCCGCATCTCCAGACACGCAGATGTCTGCGGCGGTCCTGCGTCAAACACAGGCACTGTGGACGTATTATAAATAGCGCGGCTGAAAATAAGGGGCGGGGGAGATACGTTCTGCTAATATCCGAGGCTTTGAGCTGCACAACAAGGCGGCAGCCCGGAGAGAAAGTGCTTGAAAGAAGCGGGGGCTGGCTAGAGTCTCATCTCACAGACCATCCAGATCTCCTCTCCTGCCATTGTCCTTGGCACATCGGAGCGATCCGGGTCCACTGAGTGCGCGTGCGCGCTCGTGTGTGTGTGTGTGTGTGTGTGTGTGTGTGTATACACACACACACACGTTTCGTTAGCCAAGTATTTGAAGATTCGCCTGCGCTCGCGCATAGTCAATTGCAAAGGCGGCCCCAGGCTGAGAGATCCCTGCTGGTTGTATAGGACACTCCGGTGAGTGTGGAAAGTGTTTGCCGCTAACAGCTGGGAACCGTGAGCCCCGGCGTGGTTTCAGTGGGCTACAGGATCGGGTGGGAGTGAGCTGTGCTATGGTGCACATACGGCACCGAGAGATCAGTGTCTGACGAGCTTCAGCCAAAGTACTCGGGCCTTTTCTTTCCGGAGTATTAATCCATCGATATTAAATCTGTGTCGGTGGCGATCACACAACCAATAAAGGGGAAATGGACGAGGACTGACTAGCAGCAGCTCCCAGTTTTCTTTCGCTTGAAGAAGGTAAAACAAACCAGGCCAAACAAACAAACAGCAAGAAACAAGGCAAGGGGCGGTTATCAGCCCGAGTGCTACTCTGGACAGTAGTTTAATAATCCCGAATCCCACCAACCCTGGCCCTCAGTGCAGTCCCCTGTGTGTAGCCGCGCTCCCGCGGACAGATCCAGATGCGCACAATGTGCACGCCCAGTGTGGGGCCAATACACGCGCACCGGGCCTGGGAGCAGGGGGGTAGGGAGATGATCCCCGCTCGCGGCTGCTGTGATTTCTCCAGCTGCGACTGCGCCTCCCTCTCCTTTGTTCTGTAGCAAACAGCTGGATGGGAAAAGACAACCCCAGGGTGCTGCTGGGAGGGGAAGCCCTGCCCTTGGCACGCTGCCTTTGTCACCCCCCCCCCCCCCCCCGCCGCCGCCCACCCGTCCCGAGAGTCCCCCAAAGTCTGCTGGATTCCTCTCATTTCTCACCCTTTCCCCAACTCGGTAGCTTAAGCCCAGTCCTGTTGATCCCGCGAGGTCACCGCCGGCAGCCCACCCCCGCTACATCCCTGGCGCTCAGGGCCAGGCTCCAAGCACGTTTGCGGGTCCATCTGCCTGCAGGGAACACGGGACACTGGTACAAAACTGACCCGCCCCGACCATCTCGCAAACTTCTCTGGCGGCTGATCCAACCCGTGTGTGTGTGAGCTTAAGCCCAGTCCTGTTGATCCCGCGAGGTCACCGCCGGCAGCCCACCCCCGCTACATCCCTGGCGCTCAGGGCCAGGCTCCAAGCACGTTTGCGGGTCCATCTGCCTGCAGGGAACACGGGACACTGGTACAAAACTGACCCGCCCCGACCATCTCGCAAACTTCTCTGGCGGCTGATCCAACCCGTGTGTGTGTGCAGGTCTGTTACAAGCCCGGCGTACTGCTCCCTTCCAGCGGGATGAGGGTCGCCGGGAAAGTCCCGGCCCTTTGCCCGGGCAGGGCTGTTCCTCGTGGGCCTGAGTGGATTCTCCAGGCCGCTGGCAAGCCCTAAACTTCCAGCCACGGCCACGGCAAGAATTTCCCACCAGCTCGCTGGCCACACGTGTTAGCCTGTATAACGGCCCGCGGGCCCATATGCTGCCCCGTTGCTAACGGGATGTGACCTTTCAGCGCAGCGGGCGCGATAGCGCAGGGAGAGAGGTGTTTGTGTGTATCTGGCTGGCCTTGCCAACTGAAGGCCGTTCACGTGCGGTAGGGAGCCCCGAAAGCCTGGTGCTATTGCTGGCGGGGTCACTGGGTAGCCCCGACAGGCGATTTAAGAGGAAAGTACGAGGCACAAGCGCCAGAGAAAGTGGCTGGGGCAGAGGGGAGCTGTGGAAGATTTA